AGCAGGCTGTAAGTTCCCGTATCCTGTTTTTAAGTTTTCACTCAGTTTCTTCGATGCAGGTGTCACCAAAAGTATAGTTGAGGCGATACACTACTCTGAGGCTTCCTTGTGGTAGTATCCTTTTTTTGTGTAGAAGACCCCATAGCTTCTATTAGGAAAGCTTATTGTCCTAACATCCCATTTGTTCATATGTCGTTGTATCCTTTCACTTAGATTACTTCGGTAGGGAATGACTAACGGAAGGATACAATTAAAGTTGACAAATGCGTAGGCAGTTAGAAAAAATGTGGTTTGTTCAGCTTTGGGTCTATCTTGCGGAAATGTTCGAAGAGGAAAGATTACAGTTTTTTCTCTTGAAGTTATTGGAAGCAATAATAGCGGAAAAAATCCAGTAACAAACTTAGTAGACGGCAAGAGATGTAAATGACTTACTCAGCGTGGTTACAGCAGCTGCACCATCGAAGCTTACAGTACATAATTTCGTCATCCCAACGGCGGAGGAAAGGCAGTTACACCAAGTTTGCCCTCTTCTGCAAATGGTTTACCACCGTGAGATGCAGGATCGTTGCGGGTCTTGCTACAGATTGGAAAGTGGTCGCGCAGTTGTCGATCGGTTTTAATGTATTTATCAGTGAATTAAATATTTAGATGAAAACGTATTTAGTTCAGTAAATTATGTATGAAATTTATGTTCAAACCGGTGCCTCGTTGAGCTGAAAACTTCTTGGAAAAACGCACCCTGTAATTTAGGTAATACGAGCGTATTCAAAAATACCCAAATTATTCAGGTTCATCGTTTTAACTACCTCCAGTGTTTTTGATAATCTGTCGAGTACCGAGAACGAAGTAACTCAACTCTGCCGTTGCCGATCTCATGTTCGGATTAGAAAGGAGGAGGGTTGAATGCGGTGAGGAAATCTCCGCTAAACTTAGCCAGTTGCCCCTCATCGTATTATGGTCATCCCACATTATGCCAGCTCGGTCATCGCCCGGGTTACTAGCTGCCTCGCAAACTCATGGGGAACTGAGGATGTCTGTGGAAAGTCGGCGATCAGAATTTGCTCATCGCTCTCTGCCAGCCGGGGTCGTAGCAGCAAGACAGTGGCTGCGGAAATTCGACGAAACCACGGCGAGGATAATAATCACAACGTAGTCGTTACCCGTTCTGAATGGAGAAGGCAGACAGCGTGATGCAATTATGGCACGCCATATAAGGATCCACGGAAACGACACCGACAGTGGGAGCATAGAGTCGGAAATTGGAATAAATCCTTACTCAGAAGGAAAGAATAGGGGGTCCTTGATGAGGTCGCAAGGTACCAACTCGATAGAATTTGACTCTTCAAAAAAGCGCCAAGACTCTGGGGTCCTGAACTTCTGCAGATGGAACTATTCTACGTAGGTGTCAAAATCTCGACGCACGCTCAAGTGAATGTCGGTGCTCAGGTAGAACTCCCTGGATGATAGGATCGTTGAATGGAAGCCTGTCAGCGGAGGAATGGCAATCCTCCGACTGTAGCTGCTGCAGGCTAAATCGATGACGTTGTTGCAGTTCTAGACGCCAATTTGAAAGTAGAATATAAGTCATTTCTTGAGGAAGTGGACGGTGCTCTGTATCAATTGTTGACTACGAGTCCCTCATTCTAATAGGCAATTTTATTGCGCTCATCGAAGCATACATTAAGTGGAAAAGGCGTGATTTGAATGAACGGCCCAAGCGACTTGAACAGTCGCGGCATGAAGTTGTTGCGATTTTGTCCAAACAGCGGACTGTCTATTATGAACACGTTTTTCGAGCATCGAAGAGTGCAGCAGTATACCTGATACAGGGAAACTTGCCAACAGACGTCGATGATCGATCTGATAAACATATCTGTGATGATTTTTCGTTTTAGGAGAGGTGCAGAGCTGTCAGCTGATCATTGCCTTGCTGTTCGCACGTTACGGTGTGAGAGATGGAGCACCATGTGAAAATGAAGTGCAAGTAACCAGAGAATCTAATAGGAATCATCTTCCGCGGATACGAGGACAAAGCTTGTAAACAACATCGCATGACGGTCTAAACCGGTCCTGATTATGACCGCTGATGTGGAAACCGAGTGGGAGCTCTTTAAGAGCGGCGTACTGCCGTCGGGACTGCCATCGAATTCTGCGGATTCAGAGGGGCTGACCTGATGCTTTGAAGTCGAAAAAGAACTACCTCGTAGAAGTTCAGCCGGCAGTAATGAGAATAAAGCGGTATTCAAGAAATGGACTGGAAACGAAGATCCTTCAAGTCGCGTACGGTATGTCGAAGCCCGCGAGACGTCAGTGAAAATACCGGCGAAAGCTAACGCTGTTTTTTGAGAGATATTCCGTCGGTTGGATTTGGAGTCGAATTTCCAGACGACAAACAAGGTCTTTAAGCAGACTATCCACCGGCTCAATT